TCACCCTGCCGCCCAGGTGCGGCCGACCTGTGAACTGGGGCGCCCTCTGCTGGAGAACAGGGGAAGCGCACCTGCTCCTCCAGGGTATCCCGGAAGCCGGGAAGGCCTAGCTGGAGGGCGGGGCTCCCCCAGAAGGTCTCTTGGAGCCCAAGGGCGCCCCCATCCCAGTCGGCGTGGGCGCGGGGGGCAGGGAGCCCGCGGTCACCAGGCGGGGGTGCCAGGCGGGCGGGTGGGCCAGTAGCCCCTCATCGGAACTCTCTCTCCTGGGTGGTCTGGGTGCCCCAGCGGGCCATTAATTGGCTCTATTCATCCTCTTAATTAGATGGAAATGAGGCTGCTGGACAGAGGGGGCATTGAGTCGGGGAAGAATGGCGGCTTCTTTCCGGGCCTGGAGGGGCAGCCCACCCCCAGCCCTGCCCACTCTGCTGCCCCTTCCCAGCCCACCCAGCCCGGCGCACCTCGGCACCCAGCAGTGCCCCTTTGCCCAGCCCTGCCAGGCCCCAGAGGCCTCCCTGCCAGCCTCCCTCCGTCATTTTTGCATTCTCTTCACGTTTATCAAGCGTCGGCTATGTGTGGGGACACACGTTAAAAATAAAAATGATCGTAAAAATAAGAACTACCGAGCACCCGTTAGTGGCGGGCGTGTGGCCGAGGTCGGAGCTCACTCTGTGACCGGGATCAGGGGTCAGTATGCCATGAGGATGAGAGATCAGTGTGTCTCCATAGTCAGAGGTCAGTCTATGATGGGCACCTGGGCTCAGCGTGTGATCAGGGTCAGGGATCAGTATGTGACTGGGATGAAGGCTCAGTTTGTGGCGAGGATTAGGGCTCAGTGTGTGACTAGGGTCAGGACTAGACTTTGGGGGAGTGTCCTCCAAGCCACTGGCCATACCTTGGCCTTTCCACCCTGACAGGCCCCCTTCTCTCCTCGCCCCCTCGCCCCCAGCTTCACCACCTGGGTCACCAAGGTAACCAGCCCTGAAATAGTGGGTGTTTCGGCAGCTGAGCCAACCTGAGTCTACCCTGAAAGGCTGCACTTACTGCAGCAGTTTCCATGGGAACGGAGAAGCATCCTCCGATTAGCCCGGCTTGGACACCCTCTGTCCCACCCGCTGCCAGCTTTCCACGTCACCCGGCTTCCGGGTGGGGGCTGGGCTGGGGCA